CACCTGTTAATCGTTTATATTTTATTAGTTCATGTTGCTTTTGTGAAAAGCAATTTAGATGAACAACAATTTATTTGTTTTAGATATTTTATGTTTAGATATTTCTATTTTGCGGGAGTCCCATGAATCATTTTATTCTCCCACATCCCACACACACACACGAGTGTCTACCCGCCCGCACCAGCACTCGCCCATCTTGTCCCGCGCCGTACTCGGTTGCGTCGGGTCTCGCGGGAGCAGGTCTCTAATCCACTGGCACTTGACTCGACAGTGCGTGTGCTACATCCTTTTTACAATCTAGATTATAAAACACTGCATTCTGTCAGCAATGTAATGTATAGAGACTTCGGCTTGTAACTATACTCTAATTACTACTTTGAAAATTATAACGCGTTAAATTACTCAGTTACTAAAAAAGTAATCAAATTACAGTTTGTAACTGCCCAATACTGCTCCTAACCACTTGAGAGACCTCTCGAGCTGTCTTAAATAACTGGGAGAGTAAGAGTGATTCTTAGCGTTAAGACATTTGATAACTTGCATTTATACTTACATTTGAAAGTAGGAGTAAATTTCATGAATTCTCAGCACTTAAGACTAAAATGGCACTTTGAGAAGCTTGATAAATACGGGCCCTGTTCCAGTTATGGAAGCTTCCGGGCAAGCGGATTCACAGCAGCTTTAGTGCCCCTGCTCTATTGCTATGACTCGTCGTGATTGTTGCGTGTTCTCATTGGTTTGCTGGCATGCAGGTGATTTCATACACAAATTAACTTAATTTCAATTAAATTCTAATCTTACTCCATTTTATTATGACCTCGAATTTAGGTTAGAATGTAAATTATTATTGATCATTCATAGGATTCTATTTAACTCTTTAATCTTGTTGCACTTATTTATTCGACTGTGCATACGGATCTCATACTCACAAACTCCTCAGTCTTGGTCACTAGACAGAGGTAATTGACTAATACTATTTAGATGGCCACCCCATGCTTACTCATTCTAAAAGTACTTTTATTTAGTCCCCATAGATCTGTATACACTTGAAAAAAGCAACATTTTCCCTAGTCAGAGGTCATGACCACTATTATAATTATAGGTGCTTAAGATAGATAGAAGCCGACCAACATTACTTTCTCTGATAACAGTTTTGGTATGGTCATGCCATGGTTTCCCATGTACAATTAGCTAGAGTAATATTACAATAAACAGAGGTAAGGCCCACCCAAATTTAGGTTGGTCAAACAGCATTCAGTTGATCTAAACGGAAATTCCATTTTTGGCTTTTGCAGTCCAAGTAAGTCGGCTCAAACAAGATGGCGCCGATGTGTGTGGCTGGCTGTCTGCTCTTTATGTTCTTTGTACAGTTTGTTGTTTGTCTAAGCTCTCTTCTGACTCAAACTGTGTATACACTTATAGTGTACGACCGGCAACAGCTCCTTCATTTAAGGAGTGGAGTAAAAGTTTTATTAAACACCGCTCCAGAGAAAACTGATTCTAATCGTCCACCTCCACCTGTACTGGCGTCCATTCCCACCTGTTTGCGTCGTATGCCATGGGATTTTACCCGGAGGAAACAACGCAGACGAAGAGGAAAGCGGGGAGGAATTGCAGTAAAGATAAAACTACATCTAGGGCGGCTGTCTACGCGAGGTCCCCTCACGGCTTTCCCGGATTTTGAGCTTGATCGCCTCGTCTCGCGGCGATTACTGGAGTCTCCTCAGCAATATGTTCGGCCTGTGATTCCGAAGGTTCTTCAAGTTCCTCCGAGCTCCTGGTCGTCCCTGGTTCGTTTTCGTCGAGGAGGAACAGATCACAGGAATCTTCGACCTTTAAATCGTGCAGCTCAGTCGATTGGTGAGTCAGTGCAGGTTAAGATGGCTCTGATAAATGCTAGATCGTTGGTGAATAAGACATTCATTTTACATGACTTTTTTACAACAAGCGATCTGGATTTTTTATTTGTGACTGAGACTTGGTTATCAACTGAGGATGTGAGTCCCTTCTCAGAAATTGAACCTTCAAACTGTTCATTTTTAAACTGCCCAAGATCAACTGGAAAGGGTGGCGGCTTAGCATGTGTTTTTAAAAGTTGCTTCACTTGTCGGACTATAAAATCTGAGAGTTTTTCCAGCTTTTTAGGTACTGTTATTTAATCTAAAAAGGGACAAAAATTTAGCGATTGCTATTGTATACCATCCTCCAAAGATAAGCAAATACTTTATACATGAGTTTGCCGATTTGTTAGGTGGAATTGTTTCGAAATTTGATAGACTCTTGATTGTTGGTGATTTTAATATTCATGTATGCTGCGATACAAATCCGCTTGCTAAAGAGTTTAAAAATCTTATTCACTCTTTTGACTTTGTTCAAATGGTTACAGGGCCTACACACTCCCTGGGCCATACTCTTGACTTTGTCTTGTTACATGATATCAATATTCATGACCTTGAAATTGGTGATTTAAGTTTTTCAGATCATAATCCTGTGATGTTCTATTTTAGATCAGATTGTTAAAACTAAGAAGCCTATTATTTGGTCATGTATGTTTAGCTCTACCTTTAGTAAGGATTTTGTTCCCCTTTTTGATGAGGCATGTAAACTGGTTTCTCTTGATGATCCCTTAAAAATTTAGTTGCAGAACAACAGCTTACTTTATTTAATTCTACCTGTACTGGAATTTTAGACTCTATTGCTCCTTTTCGGAGTAAGCAACTCAAAGCTAAGGCAGAGCCATGGTTAAATACGGATACACGGGCTCTTAGACAAGTATGTCGACGTACAGAACGTAAATGGAAAAAAAGATAAGTTACATGTGTTGTTGGAGATATTACGTACTTCATTAACTAACTATCAAAGAGCTGTGAAGGAGGCCAAATCAAAGTATTTCTCTGACATCATAGCTAGAAATGATCAAAGACCCAAGATTTTGTTTTCTACAATTAACTTGGTGATAAATCCATCAAATTATCTGCACTTTGATGACCCAGTTGCTTCTTGTGAATGCTTTTTAAGGTATTTTACAAACAAGATACATGACATTAGACAGCTTATTGTCCCCATAAATTATGATCCTTCCTCTTTTTCGGCTTGTACCTCATCTTTTAATGCCTTTGAATACGATAGTCGATAGACAATCTTCATAAACTGGTTATGAAGTTAAAACCAACCACATCTGAAACTGACATTTTTCCAGCACGCCTACTTATTCAGGTTTTTGATGTTATTGGGCCTTGTATCTTAGAAATAATAAATAAGAGTATTTCTGTTGGATTAGTTCCAGAATATCTAAAGCATGCTATTGTTAAACCATTGTTGAAAAAATCTAATCTCGATGTGACCGTTCTCTCAAATTTTAGGGCAATTTCTAATCTTCCTTTTATTTCTAAAATCCTTGAGAAGGTAGTTTCTGTCCAATTATTAAATTTTTTAGATGCAAATGGAGTTTTTTAATCTTTGCAGTCTGGTTTTAGGAAACATCACAGTACAGAATCTGCTCTCTTAAGAGTGTCAAATTATATTTTATTATCTGTTGATTCTGGGAACTCTGTAATACTTCTGCTGTTGGATTTGAGTGCGGCTTTTGACACGGTCGATCATGACCTTCTTATCTCTCGTCTTGAATATTGTGCAGGTATTAGAGGTCATGCACTGAACTGGTTCAAGTCTTATTTGAACAATAGAACCTTTTTTTTTAATATAAATGGATGTTTATCCTCCAAAGCGCGTCTGACTTGTGGGGTTCCCCAGGGATCTATTCTTGCTCCCATTTTGTTTTCTTTATATATGCTCCCTTTGGGCTCAATTTTTAGAAAACACAGAGTATTTTTTCACTTTTATGCAGACGACACTCAAATATATGTGCCCATCAAACAAAATGATAATGCTGGTTTGTCTACCTTAACTGCCTGTTTGTCAGATATTAAGGCTTGGATGTCCAATAATTTTTTGAACTTAAACGAGAGTAAGACTGAGGCAATTGTGTTTGGTCCATTAGCTTTTTCTGGCAGTCTAAATCAAGTGTTAGGCAGCTTAGCTGCTTATGTAAAACCATCTGTTAAAAACCTGGGTATTGTCTTTGACTCTGCCCTGCTATTTGATAAGCAGGTAAATGCAGTTATCAAATCGTGTTTTTTCCAGCTGAGACTACTGGCCAAAGTTAAAAGTTTTTTAACTTTTGCTGAGTTCGAGAAAGTAATCCATGCATTTATATCTTCTCATCTGGACTATTGCAATTCAATCTATATAGGTATTGGTCATTCCTATATGAACCGCCTGCAATTAGTCCAAAATGCAGCTGCTAGACTCCTTACTGGCACTCGTAAATTTGAGCACATCACCCCCGTCTTACTCTCTCTGCGTTGGTTGCCGGTTCATTTTAGAGTAGAGTTTAAGATTTTACTTTTTGTTTTTAAGGTCTTAAACGGTCTGGCAACATTAATTATTAATCTGAACTCATGACTGTTAACATATCTGCGAGATGTTTAAGGTCATCAAATCAGAAATTGTTAAAGGTTCCTAGATCAAGGTTAAAAAGAAAGGGAGACCTTAAGTGTATTTGCCATAGTCTGCCCCAAATTGTGGAATAGCGTACCTTTATCTATTAGGATAATCTCTTCAGAATCTCTGTTTAAAGTAAAACTTAAAACTCACCTTTTAGAAAAGGCTTTTAACATCTGAGTCGTCCTGAGCATGTATCTGTTGTCCTCTGCATGTACTACCTCCTGTACCATATGACTTTTATGTTGTTTTATTGTTTTGATTTTATAATTTCTTGTACAGCACAATGGTCAATGACTGTTGCTGTATTGTGCTATATAAATAAACAAAACAAAACAAACAAACAAACAAAGTACTCTTGAACTAATGCCAAAGGATAGCCGGATCTGTTACTAATCTGATGCAGATATGGGGTAACAAGGATACAACGTGATCTACTAGAGTCAATCATTTCAGAGTAAACAGAATCAATGCAAATGTAACAATTTATTATTAGTCAGGTAAAATGTATTATGCCAATTACGTAATCAATTCAGAGATAATCAATACAAGACATTAATTTCTCAAAGATAAATCTAAGAGTAAAGGATGCATACCTGACTTTAGAAAAATACATAGTATGGAGTGTGTGGACACACTCCACGCTACAGGCTCATCTGGCTACAGGAGCACACTGATCTTCTCGCAACATTCACTTAAGTACTCAGACCAAGACAAGCATCCCCCAAATGGAGACAGGAACTAACAACTGGAATTTGCTTTGATCAAGTCCTAGATGTGGAGAGTTTACACCTTTTGGGGACAGATGGTAATTTGCATGAAAGACACTGGGAAAGAGCACACCCTATACAGTAAGCAAAATATATCTAAACTCTTAGGATCTGTATTACCTTATAGTTTACTTCTTGTAAGCCACCGCTAACGTCCTTTACATAGCAACGACTGTACGGACAATTTTTTGTTGTATGTTCATTTCGTAAATGTGGCCCAATGTGTTTGATGCAAAACTAAATCAAATAAATCAAATGAAAAAAAAAATGTTGCTACTGTATATTTTCATACATTCTCAAGCAAAGCAAATTTTGAAAGTCCATTGAAAACATATCTTCTTACATTTTTGGTCATAGACAATGTATGTTGAAGATATAGGTTATTTGGCAAGATGCCTGAGTAAAAGAATAAAGTGATAAACAAAAAAATGTTTATACAATTTATATGAAAATTTAAGTAATATTAAACATAAAGAAAACAAAGGAAACAATAACATCCTCAGAGCATTTTTCTGAAGATTTTATTGTTCCCTTGGTTTTCCTTGCTTGTGTCGCTTACAGTTAAAGCCTTGTCTGATTTTATTGTTGTTTGCAACGTTGCAAAATGTTACATGGCAATATTTTTTAAATATGATTGTTTTTGGTATTTTGTATGGTCTATTGTTGGAGTAGCATCACCCGGGTCAATGATTTTACTCCTTTTTACTGGGAATATAAATTCAGCAGATGCACAGACATATAGACCAATATGTCCGAGAGACAGAGAGAAGAAGGATTGGAAATTAATTTCTTTTACAAATTAGGTAGGAAATGTGCATACTTGCCACAGTGTTTCTGTTGTCATCTGTGATTCCTCTTTGAGTTTGTCTTAAAAGCCGAATGAGGAGAAGGGAATCTTTATCTTAGCACTCAGCATAGCCTTGAAAAAGTCACCGCTCACCACTGCAACCACCTACCCCCAATGTAATTTGTATAACTAGTTCCCTATATGTCGGTCACTACGAGTTATGTTGTGACGACATTAGGGGTCTAACATGGGAGCTGAATCATCTCTGAGTTTAAGAAAAAAAAACAATGAAAATTGGCTAGTGGATTTTGTATGCTGAGCCACTCCCCGTGCCTACAGGTGTATAAAGCATCAGCATGCATCCACTGTACATCGTACATCCATGTTCCTGTTTGGCTCAGTACAGCGCTGTCCCTACGAGCGAGTGATTCGTGGGCACCTTAAGTGTATTTGCCATAGTCTGCCCCAAATTGTGGAATAGCGTACCTTTATCTATTAGGATAATCTCTTCAGAATCTCTGTTTAAAGTAAAACTTAAAACTCACCTTTTAGAAAAGGCTTTTAACATCTGAGTCGTCCTGAGCATGTATCTGTTGTCCTCTGCATGTACTACCTCCTGTACCATATGACTTTTATGTTGTTTTATTGTTTTGATTTTATAATTTCTTGTACAGCACAATGGTCAATGACTGTTGCTGTATTGTGCTATATAAATAAACAAAACAAAACAAACAAACAAACAAAGTACTCTTGAACTAATGCCAAAGGATAGCCGGATCTGTTACTAATCTGATGCAGATATGGGGTAACAAGGATACAACGTGATCTACTAGAGTCAATCATTTCAGAGTAAACAGAATCAATGCAAATGTAACAATTTATTATTAGTCAGGTAAAATGTATTATGCCAATTACGTAATCAATTCAGAGATAATCAATACAAGACATTAATTTCTCAAAGATAAATCTAAGAGTAAAGGATGCATACCTGACTTTAGAAAAATACATAGTATGGAGTGTGTGGACACACTCCACGCTACAGGCTCATCTGGCTACAGGAGCACACTGATCTTCTCGCAACATTCACTTAAGTACTCAGACCAAGACAAGCATCCCCCAAATGGAGACAGGAACTAACAACTGGAATTTGCTTTGATCAAGTCCTAGATGTGGAGAGTTTACACCTTTTGGGGACAGATGGTAATTTGCATGAAAGACACTGGGAAAGAGCACACCCTATACAGTAAGCAAAATATATCTAAACTCTTAGGATCTGTATTACCTTATAGTTTACTTCTTGTAAGCCACCGCTAACGTCCTTTACATAGCAACGACTGTACGGACAATTTTTTGTTGTATGTTCATTTCGTAAATGTGGCCCAATGTGTTTGATGCAAAACTAAATCAAATAAATCAAATGAAAAAAAAAATGTTGCTACTGTATATTTTCATACATTCTCAAGCAAAGCAAATTTTGAAAGTCCATTGAAAACATATCTTCTTACATTTTTGGTCATAGACAATGTATGTTGAAGATATAGGTTATTTGGCAAGATGCCTGAGTAAAAGAATAAAGTGATAAACAAAAAAATGTTTATACAATTTATATGAAAATTTAAGTAATATTAAACATAAAGAAAACAAAGGAAACAATAACATCCTCAGAGCATTTTTCTGAAGATTTTATTGTTCCCTTGGTTTTCCTTGCTTGTGTCGCTTACAGTTAAAGCCTTGTCTGATTTTATTGTTGTTTGCAACGTTGCAAAATGTTACATGGCAATATTTTTTAAATATGATTGTTTTTGGTATTTTGTATGGTCTATTGTTGGAGTAGCATCACCCGGGTCAATGATTTTACTCCTTTTTACTGGGAATATAAATTCAGCAGATGCACAGACATATAGACCAATATGTCCGAGAGACAGAGAGAAGAAGGATTGGAAATTAATTTCTTTTACAAATTAGGTAGGAAATGTGCATACTTGCCACAGTGTTTCTGTTGTCATCTGTGATTCCTCTTTGAGTTTGTCTTAAAAGCCGAATGAGGAGAAGGGAATCTTTATCTTAGCACTCAGCATAGCCTTGAAAAAGTCACCGCTCACCACTGCAACCACCTACCCCCAATGTAATTTGTATAACTAGTTCCCTATATGTCGGTCACTACGAGTTATGTTGTGACGACATTAGGGGTCTAACATGGGAGCTGAATCATCTCTGAGTTTAAGAAAAAAAAACAATGAAAATTGGCTAGTGGATTTTGTATGCTGAGCCACTCCCCGTGCCTACAGGTGTATAAAGCATCAGCATGCATCCACTGTACATCGTACATCCATGTTCCTGTTTGGCTCAGTACAGCGCTGTCCCTACGAGCGAGTGATTCGTGGGCGCTTCAATTAAAAGAGCAGTTTCCCAAAAAAAGAGCAAATCACGGACAATTCGTGTCTTTTTCAAGATGCCGTTTTGTCCATGTCCTCTTGGTTGTGGTCATTTCCTGTCCTCTGTTGATTGCTACGATTATTGTCTTCAGTGTCTGGGCGCTCAACACGCTGAAGCGGCGTTCGTGGATGGATCATGTCTCTACTGTGGGCGCATGTCCATGGCATTGCTGCGATTGCGTCTCTCCCTCCTCAAGGGGAGTAGAGGAGACCCCTCTGCCACTACTCGTTCCGGTTTCTCTGCCATGAGCAGAGGACTGCCAGCTAGAGCTCTGGGAGATCTGAGGGTGACAGTGAGAGCTTCTCTGCCGGGCGACGGACCTCTCACTCCTCACGCAGTGCATGTCCTGTGCGGCTGCAGAGTGATTCTGCTGGGCCATTTCATGGCGGCCCCAGCGAGTCATTCAGTGCACCACCAAAGGATCAGATGTCTAACGCAGCATCGGCGGATGGGCCATCACCCTCTGAGGATGAAGGTTCGGCGGGGCTGCCCCCCTCAGGTGTTGTCGCCACTGCCAAATCGAACCCAGATCTGACGGCCATGCTTGCCCAGGCAGCTGTGAGCATCAAGCTGGAGGTGAACACACCGCCCAGCCCTGAGTGCTCTCGGCTGGACGATTGGTTGCTCGGAGAGGAGTGTGGCTCACAACCGCATTCTCCTCCGGTTACTGTCTTTGCGGAAGTGCATGAGGAAGTTATGAAGTCATGTACGGCCCCTTTTACGACCAGAAGCCTCTCGTCACCTTCCGTCCTCACTACCCTTGATGGCGGGGCGGCTAGGGGGTACGTCGACATTCCCCAGGTGGAAAGAGTGGTTGCGGTGCATCTGTGCTTCCTCTTGGAGGAACCATCCGTGGCTCCTGTCCAAAACCTGTAAGCTGTCGCTCTTGCTCTTGCTGCCAAAGCTTACGTTGCTGCAGGCCAAGCTGCCTCTGCCTTGCATGCCATGGCTATCCTGCATGTACACCAAACCAAGGTACTTAAACAAATTTACTAGGGTAGTACCGACCCGAGGTTGATTCAGGAGCTGCGCACGGTGACTGACTTCGCCCTCCGGGGTACGAAAGTCACGGCACGGTCCATCGGGAAGGTGATGTTTACCCTAGTGGTCCAAGAGCATTATCTCTGGCTCAACCTGGCTGAGATGAGAGACGTTGACAAAGTACGCTTTCTTGATGCTCCCATCTCCCAGGCTGGCCTGTTCGGCGACATTGTTAAAGACTTTGCCCAGCAGTAGAGGAGCAGACTGAGGCCATGCAACACATCTTGCCCCGACGTGATCCTCCAGCTGCCACCATTCCGTCGAAGGCTGTGTCTCAGCCTGATCTTCGCTGTGGGTTGCCCTCCTGCGTCCTCCATAGCAGCTCCGTCCCGTGCTGAGGCAATGCCAAGGCAGGGGCGTCAAGCTCCTCGCAGGAAGGCGGCTCCCCCCGTGTCACACCTGGCCGCTAAGTCCTCTAAGAAGATGGCGAAGCTGCCCTGACACGGGTATCCCGGAGATGTGGGAGACTGCTCTTCAGGAGGTGGCGAAGACAGCAACGCTTTTTCACCCGAAGGAGGGCCAGGTTGAGAATCTTTTCTTTTCTTTCTTTTCCACCGCTGGCTCAATGGCCAGTGGTAACCACATTGTCAAAGAAAGAGCAGTTTCCTTTTCCTCCGGATTGCAAGGGCCATGGGGTGACAGTGAGTGCTGCCTCTGCACTCTTACCCACCATGACCCTGTCGGCAATTGCCAAGAGACTGCGGACTAGGGCCGCCATACCTCCCTGCACATCTCTAGCCAGTCCCTCCGGGGACACGGGGAGTTCTGCTGTGATGACTCAAAACGCAATGCCTTCTGGGCCACCTAGCCCGACTCTCCATTGCTGCACCACTGTGGGTATGTTGACTGTCCCTTAGGTGCCACTCGTTGCGCTGCCCATCCCGTTCCACTGGTTCATTCGGACAGGTCGACTCTTGAGACTTCGGTGGCAGTCCGAGACGCCTCTGTTCTGTGCGAGGAGATTGTAAGGAGATTGCTGTCCCTCCAGCTGAGACGAGGAAGGGGTTTTACAGCCCTTACTTCTTTGTTCCCAAGAAAAGTGGTGGCCTTCGACCAATCCTGGATCTGCGAGTCTTGAATCGGACCCTTCACAAGCTTCCGTTCAAGATGTCGACACAGAAAGGCATCGTCAAATGCGTTCAAGCCCAGGATTGATTTGCAGCCATCGACCTGTAGGATGCGTACTTTAATGTCTCGATTCTTCCTCAACACAGACCTTTCCTACAGTTTGCGTTCAAGGGTTGGTTATGGCAGTACAAGGTCCTCCCCTTCGGGCTCTCCCTGTCCCCCTGTGTCTTCACGAAAGTTGTGGAGGGTGCCCTTGCCAAACTATGGGAAGTGGGCATCAGGATCCTCAATTCCTCAAATTTCGATGACTGGCTCATCATGGCCTGGTCACGAGAAGAGGCCTGCGATCACAGGGACCTGGTGCTCTGGCACCTCAGCCAGTTGGGGCTTCAGGGCAACCGAGAGAAGAGCAAGCTCTCCCCCGTGCAGAGAATCTCTTTTCTCTGAGTTAGGCCCGGTGAGTATGACTGTGCGTCTCACCAACGATCACGCCCAGTCAGTGCTGAACTGCCTGAGTACTTTCAGAGGCTCCTGTGGCATATGGCATCCGCAGCCATGCCGCTCAGATTACTTCATATGAGACCACTTCAGCACTGGTTACACTCCGAGTCCCGAGATGGGCATGGCGCCACGGTACACATTGCGTGACCATCACACTGACGTGTCGCCACTCATTCAGCCCCTGGTCGGACCTTGCCTTTCTACGGGCCGGGGTGCCCTTAGAACAAGTGTCCCGACATGTCATTGTCACAACAGATGCCTCCAAGACGGGCTGGGCCGCTGCGCGCCATCCACATTTGGGGGGATCGCAATTGTGTGTATCGCGCTCTCACGACAGCTCACTTTCCCCGGAGAATGGGGACTCCATCCCCAGACAGTCCAGCTGATTTGGAGTCGATTCGGGGAAGCTCAGGTAAACCTGTTTGCTTCCCGCAAGTCCTCCCACTGCCAGCTGCACTATTCCCTGACCAAGGCCCCCCTGAGCACAGATTCACTGGCACACGGCTAGCCGCGGGCTCTACGCAAGTGTACATTTCCACC